GTTAAAATAATAGGATGAGTGCAAATATACAGTTGCGTATCTAGTTTTTATGGAACTTATCTGCAGTATAACAATCAGCAAGGCTCAAATATGCTCTGATAATTTATTGAGGTTTTAAAGGTAAGCCCCAGCCAGGATTGAACATTAAACCCCCTGACCACCCACTTCCTTTTTCAGTAATTTAATGATCTTGGAGCGTGCCTGCTGGCAAAGGTTGTACACTATCCTTGCTGGTTCTTGCACACACAAAAGGTGGTGTCAAAATGTCAGTACTGAGATATTTCTCACAAACACCAAGCAGATGCCAACATGCCTTGGAAGTATTATTGTAATTGGCAAATAAGCAAAGAGATAAAGGGTGATAGACTGTACAAGATTTAGGCATTACACGTCTGCCCACCTACTGTCCCTTTGAAACGGACTTTTAATGTACAGTGGGGTCACGGATCAGGACTGGACCAAGTGCTACATGCAACTGGCCCCCTTGGAGGATTCAACAAGGTTTTTCATCTTGTGGTGATTCTTCTTCTTTAAGCCTAAGCTCCCCAATCATTACCCACTTCTAAACTCTATAGTAAGTTTAGAGGTAGTATGAAGATCCCAAGGGTTAACTGCTCTCTTTTACTTAGGGTCCCCAAAAAAAGTTATACTCGCCCTATCCTCGGAGCCAGCAGAGCTCCCTCCAGCCTCTCTCCTCCTCTGCAATAATGGTATGTCTCTCGGTGTCCTCCCATCCTATACCCTGTATTCCTAGACCACTACAGAGGAGGGAGAGAGACACTCTAGGGACCGGTCTAAGAGTCGGCTCGCTCGCAGAATTAGGTGAGTATCATTTTTATTTCTTTTTTGACCTTAGGAAAAAACAAGCTGTTAACCCTTGCAGTGCAGGGGTAACCCCACTGCAATGGTTAATAACATGTCTGTTCTTCTTTCATAGTATTTGCTCTGTCTACATTATTTAAGCCCTAATTTAGAAAATACTTTACCCTTAATATAATATTACAATACTCATGGGAAAGACAGGAATCCACTTGAGCGATTATTAATACTGACTCCCATGTAACTACTTTTAAATCCAATACTTTTCTTTCCTGTCTGCTCCACCTATTGTCATCAAACAGTCATCCCACCTTACTCATTTTCAATGTTTGAAGATAATGTTAGATGATTATTTAATGGCAGTAGATTTGGGAGCCACACTTCACTCTCTAATGTCTATTTTGTTTTCCACGTACTTGTCATGTTATTATGACAAATCTTTAAAAAATTGTTCAGTGTGGCCAAAACATATCCGGAAATCTTAACTTAGCATTCTGCATCATATTTATAGTTCTTATTTTTAATATATAATCAAGCTTGTTCGCATTCCTTAGCAGATACGAAGACAAAATAAGAGCCTCAGAATCTAGACAAAGTCTACTTGGAAATGTCCTCACATACTCGGAATTACCCATTCTTCATCCGACATGTAGAAAGTGAAGATCGCCAACACTCGAGGAATGTCGTTAAATCTTACAGGGTTATTCACAAATCTGCCAAAGGCAGCCGAGTAAACAACCTAGCCGAAGTGAAGTTCGGCTATTCACTATTCGGCTATTCACTCCGGCTCAGTACAGCTGATTTCAGCCGGACATCGGCTGAAATCACCGTACATCGGCTGCACTTCGGTCAGCCGAAGTGCAGAAGGACTTCGAATCAGCCGATTCAACATCTGGATCGGCTGAGCCAAAGCTCCGGCAGCTCACTCACTGCCGTTCGCCCCTATTCACATAGGGGCCGGCAGTGAGTGAATAGCTGAATGCCTCCGTAGTAGAAAAAAAAAGGTTAAAAAAAATATTTTTAATATGTAAATAAATAGTTAAGAATTGGGCGGAGCTAGCAGTGGCAGCTAGGTCCGCCCAACTGTTTCCTATTGGCCGTCACCTGCTAGAGTCTTCTAGCAGGTGCCGGCCAATGGATAACAACTGGGCGGAGCCAGCTGTGACGGCACGGCTGGCTCCGCCCAGTTACTGTTTAATGACAGATCAACGTCCCCAAGTCATTTGTGGACGCTGATCTGTCATTACAACTGGGTGGAGCCAGTGGTCTGGCACCGCCCAGCTGTCATTTGTGGGGCTTACGGCCGGCCTTCGCAAAGCCGTTCGCCCTGCTTTGGCTGTCACTTCGGCTTAGTCGAGCCGAAGCATATGCCTTCGACTCGGCTGAGCCGCTCGGCTGCTGTACGGGCGCTTGTGAATCCGGTGGCTGAAGAGAGCCAAAGGATCAGCTGGATCCTTCGGCTCCCTCGTGAATAACCCCCTTAGTGTTAATTTATTGAAGAAAATCATCAAATGTATCAAACAGCCAACGTTTCGGGGTCACGCAGGGTCCCATCCTCAGGCCAACATAGTGACAGTTGGTCACTATGTTTCCCTGAAGTAGGGACCCCTCGTGACCCCGAAATGTTGACTGTTTGATACATGTGACGATTTTCTTTAATAAATGAACACAAAGATTTAACGACATTCCCTGAGTGCTGGTGATCTTTACTTCTTACATGCTTGATGTATACAGCGCCATCCGTGGCTATCACTAGGAGCACCACTGTTGTAATCAGTCCTAACCGCTGTAAGGAGTGCAGGGGACACATCTGAACACTACATTCTTCATCCAAGTCTGTCAAATCTTTCCATTCCTTATCCACAGGCAACTTAACTTACACAAGAAGGACACATTCTTTTTAAAGTCCTCTGTTTTAAAAACTACTAAGTGTACTTGATATTGATATTACTTACCTTTGAATATATAGAAAGACATCTAGAATTACTTTGGGAAATAATTGCATTTACACTGAAGTTATAAAATGAGTGTACTCTTATTACCATATTCTCAATCTCAACATCTATAAATGGCGAGAGATCTGTAGGGTTTTGTTCAGCAATTAAAGCATGCTAGAACAAGCTTTGTGATTCCCAGTGGCTGCTGGTACTTTAATAATGTTTGCTAACACTTGAGCCATTCTGTGTTTAGCCTTAATGACTACATGCAGATTTTCATTACCTTGAAGATACCATAATTGAAAAATAGTTTTCTTCAAGATTAGTTTCATAATCACTGATTACCTGATCTCCAGCTGCATTTACAAGTTAGTGGAGCGGATTGTAAAAAAAAAATGTTCTCTCTGATTTAATTAAGAACAATATTCACAGATGTACTATAGACCACACAGCATGTACAATATGAATCTAGCTTGTGGTATACTTGCCAATTCCCCATGATGCAATATGATTTTGTGCTGCCCATAACTGTACACAGGCAATATGTGAATTACTTTCCACTAACATCAAAAAAGGAGTTTTTATGACTCATGCATTCAACTTTGGTTACAATACAGTCGAAACCCGTCTTATTTCTCTAATGCAGCAGAATTTTCTATATGCTTTGTTTTTTTTAGGGTACAACCACATAACTCTCAGCTGTACCTCATTTGGAGGGACCACCCCCTTTTTTTGGAACTGAATCCCTCTGTCCCTTTTACCTCCTTGGTTGTTTTGATCAGATGTATATACCTCTATAGAAAATGAATTATTTAACTATCAAAAAATATCTTACTAAACCTTTCATCCAATCTCTAAATTGTTGTCATTTGGAATAACCAGTATAAAGGTAATGTAGTGGTGAAACACATGTGAGTTTATTCAATAATTTCTGTATTATTTTTTAATACGCCACGTAATGGGCTTGTGGCAGGGGAGTGTCCTATTCCTACACATTTTCTGCAATAGTGTTTCCATCTTTCTCCTCTCATAAAGTTTAGATTTATGCAACTGTCCCAGCACTTCTTCCCAAAAGAGAGCTCAAACCTTCTCCCATCCAATCCGCATGGCTGTTGGGACCCTGGTGCACAGTAGAGATTCCTGTTTCACCTTGTAGTTCAGTAATGTTTAAACACCGGCTCATGGACAAGGAAGTTCTCCAAATGTCACTTTATTTTAATTAGTTGCCGTTTTTATGCCAATATAAAATAAAGTGATGTTTAGAGAACATCCTTGTCCTTGAGCCGGTGTTTAAACATCTTCCCAAATGAGAGTTTCTTAAATAACTAAAATAACTTAAATAAATAAAGAACTACCGGCAAATCAAATCTTATGTTTTACAAGGTATACTAAGTGAACCTGTGAGAAATGACTCTTCTTTATTCTGACCATTCTGAGAAGTTTCAAGATGAATTTACATTTGTTTCAATGGGCCCTAAGCACAATGGCCCTGATATATCAAGCTGCGGTAGTACTTAAGGCGTTTTAATTGCATTCGAGTCATCCTAAAATTACATATAATAATATTGACAGAGAAAACACTACCAAGACTAAAGAGCTTTTAAGAGCCAGTTACTCATAACAATGCTAATAATGAATCAAATGTGGGTTAGTTGCAGGAAAATGTGCAGTGTATAGCAATGAAAAACCATGTATATACAGATTTTATACTGAGCCTTACTTACAGAATTTTGTTCAAAATAAAATTAACTAACGAGAATTACATTTCAGTTAAAGGGGATATTTTGCTATTGATAAGAAAGATAGTATAGATAGTTATAGAGTCAGGGCACGCATTTTTTGCAATAAACAATGTAACCCGTACACACTTCACTGACTAATGGGGAAAAAGGACACCCCATCCAGCATGTTATCACAAATCTGATCCTAATCGACTTCCACAGACAAAGGTAGAAATATCCCATCAAAGAGACCATAACTCACAGTCTTCTTGGTATCTTTATTGCAGAAGGTGGATCTCCATGTAAAATGGCTGATGACCTGGCCTTTACCTACAGCTTAGTATTTCTAACCTTTCCACAACAAAGAAGCCAAGAAGACTGAGAGTGCCCTGCTTTTCCGATCTCTATAGTCCATATAAATGTATTGTTAGCGGGAAATGAAATTCTGCAGGAAAATATTTTCAAACAATCGTTATTTGACTTGTATAGTGTACTAAATAAGATATTCTTTTTGTCACATCAGGTCTATCTGCGAGCTACTGATGTTAAACTGATGAGACAGCTGCTGATTATCAATGAAAGCATAGAATCTATCAAGTGGATGATGGAGGAGAAGGATATCATTACCAGCCAGGGAAGCAGCTTGAGCGGGAGTCTTTGCAGTCTATTGGAAAGCCGAGACACTTCATTACATGGAAGTTATACCAGTTTGCATGGTTACAGTGATGGCATGGATGAGATCTCAGTGGGAAGCTACTTGGATACTCTAGCTGATATTGTTCCAGGACATTGTACTCCAGATTTTGATCAGTACAGTGATACACAAGAGAACCATGAAGACTACCAACCACTGCGTAATGATTCCACGGAACAGCTTGATGAGTATTATTGCATCAGATAGAGCAGGAATAAAGAACAATCCACAGTGGATGCATGGGGCATTTTGTAAACTGTAATTCCACTCAATAGTAGTCTGAACTGTTCCTGTATTCCATCAGCCAGTGTCTTCCTGTCTTTGCACAGATGTTTAGAAATCTATTAGAATTTTTCAGCACTCAGGAGCTTTAAGCTTCTACACTGGCATAAAAAGGGGGGTTCAGTGGTTTTTATGTACCTCGATCTTGCTCCACTCACTGCCACTTAGTGACGTTGTCATTAAATTAATCTACTAGCTACTAACAAAAGATGTACACAATTGTAATAGAAACAATGTGCCCTGTTTTTGATGTTTTATTGTTTGAAGTAATTTACTATTTATTATGCAAGTTTTAATTGTAACTATTTTATAATAGAATTGACTAAACATCTGCATCGCAATAATAACGTTCTTGTTTGTTTTTAAGAACTGGGAAGGGGGGTCAGGTTATGTATGACTGTTAACTGCCACTTGTATTTATTCTATGGCTGGCCTGTATTTCACATTTCTACAAAATAAAAGTGGACATGTCACTGTGACGCACAATATGACCTTTAGTATGATTATTATTTCTTACAATAGTAGTAAAATGTGTTCTGACAAATGTGTTTTAACCTATTTATGGCCACAGGTCAAAGCATAACTGTTGGTTGTAGAACAGTTGATATAGCTTTTATTCTGGTTTCTGTTTGAAAACAGCAGAAACTACAATCATGCACTCATATAATTCGCTGTATTCCTAATTGCTGCACAGAGGTAACATTTTACACAGGCTGGTGTATTAAACACAAAATCTCAGATTGCTCCAGTACCAATTAGTGTCTGAAACCGGAAAAAAATGTATCCGGCCAATACCGAAACTAAAATGCCCAACAAGTTGCTGACGCCCCCAACCCCTAATTCCCCCATCCTAAGACCCCCCCGCTGGCACCCATCGCAGTCTTTTTCCCGGCTGAGGCTGTAATTTAAAAACATGTAAACGGCAGGAAGTCGCCGGGAGCAATAGCCAATCAGCAGAGGAGCGGACCTAAAGGAAAAGTCATGTCTAATTGGCTCTGCCCACTGCCAGCATCACTGGGCTACTATAGTAAAGCATCTGTCTGTTTGAACACAGTGGCTGGAAGGAAAGGAGGTGGTAGCAGAGCAGTGAAAGCTCCTTCTGTCGGCTGGCAGGGGAGGCACCTTATTATCTGCACTATTTATTTCTATCGGCATCTTGCCGATAGTACCATTTTCGGCTGAAATGTTTCAGCTGCCAATAATTCGGTGCATCCCTACTAATGACCAAATCCTTCTAAGGCTGGGCACACACCTTACAACCATCGCAAGACTTTTGTCTTGCGATGGTTGTAAGGTAATTAAAAAAACGTACAATCTGCCTATCCTGGACAGGCAGATTGTACTTGCGATGATCGCAAGCTGCGCCCCCCTGAGGGGCGGGCTTCTGATGACCACAATGCCGAACGGCTTTGTGAGCAGCCACTGTGCCAGTCCCCGTCTGGCTTTTATCTTACGAACATGCTACACACCCGCCGAACATCGCACGATGCTCGGCGGATTTTCGAACATGTTCCTAAGATAAAAGTTGTGCGACCTTACAGTAGTAGAGGTCGCACGGCTTCCACACACCTTGTTATCGCAATTGATGCTAGCTTGTTCTCTGGCTATAGCAGCCAGAGAAATGACAGCTAAAGGCGGAAGTGATGTAATAAACATGTAATACACATGACTTCTGCTAGAGATCGGAGGGGGATCAACAAGTAGGAGAATGCTGATCTCTCCTCCATCTACAGTGTGAGCAGCCACTGTGCCAGTCCCAGGCCTGCAGGGGGGACAGCAGAGCCCGGAATAACCAGCAGCAGCGGTGGCTGTATATTGCAATAAAAGCGATCAGCCAGCTGTAGACTCGGCCGAACGCTTGTATGTAACAGCCAGGGCGGGATTCTGCTCGCGGGCGCGCACAAGCAGAAGAAAAAACACGTACATGTACGTCCACCTGCCGGGATGCGTCCGCCTGTGTATTTACAATTGGTTAACAGCAAGCGGTTAAATGTCCTTTGCTCACGTGTTAAAGTGGACCTTTTCCCATACCTTTAACATAACAAACACACCTTATTTCTCTTTTCTTCCCCAGTCTTCTGACAGTGGCCATGTTTACTAAGGGCACATTCCTAGCTCTCCTTTTACTTCCTGGATTTCTGGCACATGTGACTAGGACATGTGACTATGCACATCATCTCAGAGGAGGAAAATGCCTTTCCCTGAGATCTCGTGAGATTACAGATGAGATTTCCCAGCAATGCTCTGCTGATATCAAGTCAATTTGCTTTGGCAAACTGAAGTAATTTTGCCCTTTCGAGGCAGGAAGTGAATGCTCTGCGAAGTTTTAACATTTCATAATCACAGAATTTTACACCTGACATGTCTATGTTATTATTAATTATCATACACAGAGGGGTGCATTGGTAGAATTTGATATTTGAGTGTAAAGGTCCGCTTTAATATCACTGAGCTGGCAAAATGAAACGATGCATATGTAAGATTTGTCCAATATAATTTAGGTGAAGGAATGTGTGCAGAAGTTGAGACACATTAGCTGGAAGCACCTGCACTTTACATCGCATGTAATTAGTACCATACCCTTACCATCCCACCTAAACCCCCAGATGGAGAATTGTCTAATTCCTATACAATGCTAGAATGTTGTAGCTTTAACTGATGTCTACCCTAGTACCCTCAATCCTTCTTGAAAAGAAACATGAACAACTGCTATGGTACAATCCTTCCATCTTTTAAGTTAGCCATTCTCAAATTACTGTATGGGAATTACTAATGATACAACCTCAAGTATGTAATTGAATACAACCAAAGACAATGTGTGAACCTGTATTGTTTTTTTGTGGTCTTTCTTCTCATTTTACTCTACTGCAGGACACAGTTGGCAGCTTGCCCTATGTTCTCCATTTAATTGCATATATCAAAAAGAAAAGTTCATAGATGACATCACCAGTTAATTATGTTATCACTTGAGTCTGGCAGAGAAAATGATTTATGATTGCTTTGTTGGTCATATAAGTAAATATATTAATGGAGAAATCCCTGCCAAGTGAACAAAGATTCTATTGTCACTCGAACTACTAAATACCTTTAAATGTTGAAAGCCTTATAAAAGGAATATTGGTATGAGATTTTATCTGAGAGGTATGTTGGCAGATCTTTCTTCTAGCTTAACACAATAAGGCTCAAGTTAAAGACATATTTAAAAGTTGCTCATACATTTTACATGCTTGTTCAGATTGTGTAATTTCAAGAGGTTTAGGTAGAAGAGGGGCAGTCTGTGGTTTATGAACAGCAACAGATAACCCAATATAATATAACTAAACATGTTTAAGCATTTTGTGTATATGGAAAGTTTTCTGCCCTGGGATCTCCATTTAGAGGGTATTTGCTGCTTTTTCTGATATATTTTGAAGGAGTTATACCCAGGACTGAAAAAAAGAAAATTAAGAAAGGGAATAATATATATTAAGTAAATTATTATTTAAGGATTGTTACCCACTAGTTGCCCTCTTCTCTATAAATAGATATCCCAATATAACCACCAGGGGGTTTGCTAGGATTTTGGAAAACCCAGGGCATACCGGGAAAAAAATTGCTGTAATGCTTTTAGCACATGGCCATATTTTACAAAGCAAATGTCTTAAAGGGGCTTGGTAAAGCAGAACTATTGAGAGAGTAAAATGTACTTTTCCCAAAAGAACACTGCAGCAGTCACACCCTAGCCCTATATATCGAGAACAAACCACTGATCGCTCAGCTCATGGCTTCTCTCTGCAGAGAGCGGTGACTGTTAGCAATAGCTAATTAAATCATGTGATGTTAGTGGCTACTTCCATGAGAAAGTAGTGCTGTCATATCCCTTGCCATCAGCTCCGCTTTGCTGAATGATGCCAGCATCCAAAATATGAAGGCACTGCCAGGTTGGAGACCACAGGACTTGCAATGGCAGAGCAAGCCAAAGGAATTGACATAGGCACACATATATTCCCTGGCTCACAGGCTTATTTTATATCTGAGATTGCTACATTGTCGGTTTAGGTCTGGGTGTATTTTAGTACTTATGCTACTCCAGAAAAACGTGAACATGCATGAGAATTGGTTCATCAGAAAACAAACAAAAAATCACAGTTGCACCGTTCCTAGCAGCCTTTTACAATCCAATGTCTATAGACTATTTTGCTGCTGACCTCTCCTTCTAGTTGGCAGTCATACTAATGCTTTGGCTTCAATACTTTTTAAGTTGAGTCAGAAGAAATACATATACAGATAAGGAATAATTACTTTTCCCTGAACTTAATTTGCTACATTCTTATTCTGAATTAATAATTCAGAGGTATTAAGTCAAAGCATCAGTCTGTTACAATCTATTACTACAAAAAAGTGAGCTCAAAAGGGATTCAATGGGGATTCCACCTTTAATAGCTTAAGGTTTTATGGCTTGTGACTCCCGTGACATCATTAGTTTAAGGAAGTAGTATGCTTGGAACATTGGCTTCCTGTTTGGGGGGGTCCTGCTGCCACCCTACTGATGGTAAGTAAATTGCTAATTTGGACAACACTTTTTTTTACCAGTTTATCACTTACACTGAAACATCTGATAGCAGTTTGGAGGAGTAGATGTTCCAGTATTCACTATTCATCAGCTTGAAGGAAGGCAATGTATATGTATGAATGATTTTAACAGACAAGAGGCATACTCTGTGCCCGGTATTAGAAGGAATCTTGTTTCCTCACAATTTCCAAAGAAAAATACTGTTAAACTGACAAACGTTTACAGAATAATTGTTCATTGAAATATGTATAATAGATTGTTCTACCACATGTTATTTATGTACTGACATTCATCCTTGTCAAGGACTTTGGATAATTAACATTTCAGTCACATTTTTTTCCACCTGGTTATTTACATGTCAGTCGCTTTGAGTTTTAATGACATGTATGTAACATCTGGAGTAGATACTGTTTCACATAATCCTGCCAACTGTTAATTCCCGACTTCATAGATA